AGTGGCAATTTTAATTCTATTGGGAGTTGTTCCCCTTATATCATTGTATTGCTTTGTCTTCTTTCATGGAGTTGTTTTTTATTCAACACATGCAATCTTTTGCATTGGGATACTCTTCTAAAAACTCGTTGTTGAATAGAGGTCATTTGTGATTAGTTGGTGGTAGTCTTAGTTCCAAAATCTGTTTCATTTGGGTTTGTCCAAACTTTGAATATTGAACTCTAATTTCGGGGACGAAATTTCCTAAGGTGGGGAGATTGTAACACTTCATACTCCTTGGACTAGTGGGATTGCTCTTGACTTTCTTATTATTGTAATTGGAGCCTTTTTGATTATTTTAGAGTATTGATTAGGATGTTATCATAATAATAAAGTATGACTGAATAAAAAATATTGATTCAGATAATTGTTCCATGAATAGTCTTCACTCTTTTACCTTTTTCTCCCTCCACACTTTGAATCTGGATGAGAGGCTAGAACCATTGGAAAGCTTGTTTCTGGGGCTTCGATTTAGACAAAAGAATGACCCAAAATGGAGTCCGAAAAAGAGAGTTATGCCCCGTTCGAAGTTTGCGTACCTAAAGTGTGTGAATAGTTTGCTCGAACGAACTTTTGACTGTTCGAGCGGTCTGTTCAGAGATTCTCAAAGCTTAATTTCATTCATTGAGCCAAGCTTTGACCCCTCGAGCTGTTTGTTCAAAGTCAGTCACTTTAAAGTCACTTTTTAGTCCAAACTTTTCATTCTTTCTTCCTCTCTTCTCTCCATTTCCTTTATATCCAAAACCCTGGACCTTCAAACCTTAGTTTCATCTAATTTTCACCAAGAGTCCACCCTAATCTTGAGCTAAAAACATGGAGCACGTGGAGATCAACATCTTTACCGATTGGATTGCGATTTCTTCAAGGTTTCTCCTTGGGCTTCATCTTTTGCTCCCATCTTTGAGGTAGGGGCACCTTTAACTTGGTATATCTATGATATGAGGTATATATGTTGTATTTTCTTAGTTATAGTAATGTATGATCTGATTTTGTTGTATGAAATGGGTTTGATAAATACAAAGGGGATTGTACTTAATTTTTTTGGAAATATTATGAATATTTCTTGTTGATTATTGATGCTGATGATAAATATTGGTTCTTTAAGTGTAAAAGAAGGAAAAACCGCAATTTCTTAAAAACCCTAGCTTTAAACTTGATTTAACAGTGGTGTTTGGTTCAATTGACTTTTAAATCTTGGAATTGGATGAATGATTATGGCAAAGGTGTTGAGACATGAGACTTTTGAACTTTCCTGAATACATGTATTGAGATAGATGAATGCTAAAATTATGAAATTGAGAAGTTGGAGAAATCCTTTTGTTGTTGATATTGTTAAATCTTGCTTATGAATTGAATAAACTTTAGGTAAATTAGATTTGAAAACTCGTGCATCATGTGCATTATAATTTTCTCATGTGATTTTACAATTTTATGAATATTTAGAAATGTTGGAAGGGGGTAAATTTGTATGAGTCTGGGTAGTTAAGTCAAGTTTTGGAAATAGTTGTGTATTGTATTGGAACCCGTGTGGGGAGTCAAGTTGCTCAATTGCTCTGTCTTGGGTTTATCGCCGGACAAATGTAGGTAAAGGGTTTTGGGCGTCCACGAGCCTACCATTTCAAGAGTCGGCAAATGTAAAAAAAACATGGTTTTGGGTGTCCACGACCCCTCCATTTTAGGAGTCGACAAATGTGGAAGGGGAAGGTTTTTGGGTGCCCGTCGTCCCACTGTTTTAAAGTCAGCAAATGTGGGAATACTTTCTGTATATAAACCTATATATGTATGTATGGTTTTAGAGCTCTTGCTTGGGACATCATAGTGTATTTACTACCCCATTGTTGTGGATGAGATTTTTAAATGGAAATCATGCATTGAGCATTATTGATTTTAAAAGAGAAAATATGGATTTTTCTTAACATGTGCATAGTATGATCATATGCGTTTCGATTATTTATATACTACGTTAATGGTATTCCTACTGGCCCCAATCTAACAAAACTTTCAGGTCTTGATTATGTGATTCCACTCCATTGGTGATCTTGTGGAGATTTTTGATGGAGCATTGAGACTCCTTGAATGTTTATATGTTTACAGCTATTGAACCCCTTAGTTGTAATCAAGGCCCACATCTTGAAAGATATAAGCCCTTAGGGCATTTTTGTTGTATTTTCTTTTATTTCTCAAATTTCATATGTATTTTTAAATTCTTAAATATTACAGGTATAGTGCATGAATGTAAGCTCTTGTGAAGAATTTTATGAGAAAGACAATATTTTCTTTAATGAGTTAATTCATGCGAAATGGATTCAATTGATAACATACAGAGATTATTTAATAAAATTGATTATATAAATGTTCATAAATTTTAAGGGCGTTACATTATTAAATGAATAGATGCCCTTACCCTTTGATTTTGAGGGGAAAGGGGATGTTAGAGTTTGTTGTAGACTTATCTTCTTCATTGAAACATTTGGTGTGTAGAATGAGGGTTGGGGCGGTGTGTGTACAAGGATTTGAGTTAAGGGTATAATTGGATTGGTGTATGGGATGAGAATAATGACTAGTAATCAAAATAATATGTATGTACACTGAGAAAAATGATTTGCATAGTAGTAAATATGTGTAGAAATAGAATTTCCCTTATTTTGTCTTTATTGACTAAATTAATTCTAACTTTGCATGCCAAACGACCCTGAATAATATTTTAAGTAGGTTGAAGAACATTATGGAAGTAGTGGAAAAATATTAAGCCGAATGTGTGTTATTTTTAAATAGGTCGGAAAATTTGTGAAAATACTATTTTTTTTTCTTTAACGCGTATGACATTAGATTTAATGATTGTTTTGTTTTTGTATTAAGAATGTGATTAATGAAATTGTTTGCTCAGAAAAATTGTTATCTTGAAATTATATTATTTTATTTATTTATTTTTTTTTTTGGGACTGTTGCTTAGAAAATTTACCAATGTGACCGGCAGTGGGTGGTGACTATCAGTGACCAGTGGTGGTGCTAATATGTATAGATTGACAGATTAGATAGACATATTAGTGACACATGGACAGATAGGAGATGCAGTGTGGATACATAAGTGGACAAATAGATAGACAAATAAGTAGGGAGAATACAGTCTTTTAAATTGTTATTGTCCCTTTGACTCCAAAAAAAAATAGAATTTGGGAATATTGCCCCAAATTTTTTGAATTGAACTTATAATCGAAATGCCCAAATAGGAAACTAAAAATATGATTGAAATATTAGTTTCACACTAACTTTTATTTTATTTTTTTTAACTTTCTTAATTCTCACTAACTGAATCAAATATTTTTTTACAACAATAATATAAGTTTTTTTATTTATTTTTATTTTATTATTATTATTAATAATTAATAGTATCACTACATCATATTACCATTATAATTAACAATCCTTAAATATTCCTTGAAACATCTTGTAGTCCTTAAAACATCTTATAATTAATATTCCTTAAAACATCTTCCCCCCAAATTATAGTCCTAAATATTTTTTTTAATTTCATCTTGTAGTCAGGCTAATACAAACTGAAGACTCCAACTCTTAACTTCGTAATCAAATACAAGACTGAAAATTAAATTAGTAATAGGGGATTGTTTAGCAATGTTTGTTATTTTGCATATATATTGTGGGAGCTGAATATAGATATAACTAAAATGACAAACAGAGTACATCTAAGCCTATCTGAGATGGGCCGAATGAGCCAAAGCCTACTGAACTGAAAGTCATCACAGAGTAGACATAAAATACAGAGTGAGGAAAACGCCGAGTTAAAGGTACTGTTGCCGTATGTCAAAGCCGAGTATATCATGTAAGTCGGCATGGTCCCATTAGGTGAAACCAGACTATCCCTTTCTAAAAAGTATAGTAGGGAGATGGATCCTGTCAGAGTGATGATGAAAGGCTAAGTTGTATGGAGAAAATATTAAGGAGAATGACTTTATAAAAGAAAAAGGGAGAGTGCAGGTAAGTGCTAAAAACCTTGTAACTCAAGATACCAAAAACACTAATCTTTTTACAGAGACTAACTTGCTCGTTAGAGTGTTGATTCCGGCACCACCGACCGGAGTTTTATTTCTATTTCAGGTGATAGTTGGGAAGATCCTACAAGGGTTTGTTTGGATTGAAAGAGTATTTCAAAACTATCTCCCCATATATTTATAAAAAAAATAATTTAAAACTATAAATGCAAACATGTGTAATATGTATTTTCCTTTAAAAAACTTGTAAACGGTTGAAAATATTTATTAAAACTTTATAACCACAAAATGTTGTTTTTTCTTGTTTTGAAAAAATAATTGAATTTCTTTCTCCTTCTCTTTGCTTCCTTCGGCCTCCACCCACTACTCACCCCCCCTCCCCCCTCCCCCCCCCTACTTCTCATGGTGGGCAACCATTGCTAGTCGCCAATCATCTCTTGCTGTAAATCACATTCGATCACCACCTCTTGTCGAAAATCACTTTTGGCCACTGTCTTCGACTGTCTTGTCTTGCTAGAAATTACCTCCAACTACCATCTCTAATCGTTGACCGCCACTTTAAGTCGACTTGTTTTTACAATAAATTTTTACAACATATGTGTGTAGTAAATAATTTTTTTTATATTAAAAATAAATGTAAATATATTTAATATTTTTATAAAGAAATGATATATACAAGCCCTTTTTTCTTTTTAAAAACAAATATAAGCCTATTTTTTAGACCCCATGATGTGCAAGTGAGATGGTTGGTTTATAATTAAAAAATATATTTGAAAGAGAGTTACCTTAGATATTCTAATAGACTGTTATATCATTGGATTTATAACATAAATCTAATTTTTTTTTTTGGCTTAAATAGCATCACCCTTTTTATAAACATAAAACATAAAACTGTTTAGTTTTCTATTTTTTTAACCAAATTTCATCACTATGCATTTTTTTTTATATATATGATAGCATACACCAAGAAAGATTAATTACATCCACGTTAAGAGGTTAATCAAACATTTAAAACCACCCAAAATTTCTCCTTTCATAAAGGAGGTCCACCAAGTACCAAATCACACATTAACATTACAATTTGGTATGGTTCCAAAGGTCGGTTAAAGAGCTAGCAAAATGGTTACATTAGAGAAAGGTTACACACCTCTCCTTCCAGAGTCTGACTTGGTCAAAGATTTAAGCCTCACTAAGAACTTGACTTTTCTCTCCCAAGTTGACCCATGCTCTTTCCTCTTCTTCCCTCCTATTCTCCCGGGCGAAGTCTCCCAATTCTCCGGCGACTCCACCAACCTCCGGTCAACACTTTCTGGCGTCTTCACCCCTGCCTCCTCGTACTCTCTACTGCCCTCCATGAAGTCCACATTAGCACCCAAAATCTTGGCTTGCATCGCTGATATTACCGCCTTGATTGCCACATCAGCATCGCGACGATTCCTCAACAATATCTCTCCGATCTGAGCTGGTGTGAGGGCCCCGCCCGACCTTATACAGCTCTCCGCCACGTCAAACAGCACGTGGGAGCCCACCCCCAAGTACTTCGCGACTAAAGCCTTGAATGCATGAGCGCCGCACGCGCCGAGGCTAACATGCACGTCCATGCGCCCACATCTAACGAGCGCCGGGTCAACATTGTCCCTGTGGTTGGTCGTGAAAACTATAATTCTCTCTTCACCACAACACGACCATAGTCCATCAGTAAAGTTCAGCAGCCCCGACAATGTCACCCGCCCATTATCCTCTCCATCATCGCTTACATGCCGGCCCTTCTCACTGCGTGTTGCTTTCCTCGACATTTTCGACAATCTATCACCTGTTAAATCCACAGAACAATCAATGTCTTCTATCACAATGATAGAACGATTCGTAGTTTGAATCAACAAAGCTCTGAGCTCAGAGTTGTCTGAAACTTTCGTGAGCTCAAGATCATACACGTCATAGCATAGAAAATTAGCCATGGCGGCAATGAGGCTAGATTTTCCAGACCCGGGTGGACCGTACAACAAATACCCACGTTTCCATGCACGTCCGATTTTATGATAGAACTCTCTCCCTTCAGAGAATGCTCTTAGGTCCTCCATGATTTGTGTTTTTAAGTCAGGCTCGAGCGCGAGCGTTTCAAAAGTGGAGGGGTGGCGGAAGGGGACAGAGGCCCAGCCCGACTCGTATGAGCCGTGGCCATTGTTGGTGAAGAGTCTTCTCTCACGTGATACCCTCTCGAACTCCTCGGCACGTGATGTCACGTGATCGAGGTACGGGGTGAGGAGGGCGAGAGGGTGGTGGCGCTTGGGTAGCTTGAGGGTGAAGCTACGCTTCTCGTCGATGGAGTCCTGGACCGTCTCCACGTGGTGGGTCCACGAGAGGCGGTGGCGGTCGAAGGAGTCGTGGACGGTGTGATTGGGGGCGACCGTGAAGGCAATTCGATTGGAGGATTTGGAGCGGGAGAGGGTGAGGCGGCGACAGGTGGCGGAGGAGTTGATGGAGTTGAGGTAGAGGTTGACATGGCGGTAGAGGTCGTTATGGTCGACGCCGCAGTAGCCGTTGAATTCGGGGATTTCGAAGTAGGAGTATGGGCTTAAGAAGTCTTGGAGGGATTCATAGAAGGAGTGTAAGTGTGAGAGAAGCTGAGAGGGCAAGATGTTTTGGAGGACTGTGAGGAGTCCTAGAAGAGACCACATTTGTGACAATATTTCCATGTTTGTTGTTTTGTTTTGGTGTAGTTGGATTGTGATTTTGTCTCTGTCTATGAGAGTGAGGGTTTTATATATATAGAGAGAGAGAGAGAGAGAAGAAGAAGAAGAAGAAGAAGAAGGCAGAGAAAGAAAGAGAAAATTTAGGTTGTGAATTGTGAAGGTTGCTTTGTGGAATTTGGAGATGAATATTGGGTTGGGATAATATGTGATACAGAGAGATAAAGTCACTGTTTGAGGACTTACAAAAGCAGCAGCAAGGATAAAGCAAAAGATGAAGCAGATACGACTTCTTTTGCTTTTTTTTTGGCATGAAAAGAATTTCCTAAGATTATTTTATCATGTTTGTGTTTGTGACACATATACAATTATTACCACAATAGATCTCCTATGAATTCCATTAATTTTTCATATTAAATAGTACACAAAATATAATATTAAAAAATTATGTTAATAAGTATGACATTAATTAAAATATTTTAATTATTTTGCCCAATTAATGTTTTAACTTGTAAAGCTGATTAGTTAAATTAACATGTTTAAGAGTCATGAAATTAAAATTTGTGTCAAAACTTTGCCATCAACCAGCTTCTGTATGCACCACCGAGAGTGGTGGCCCAGTGGTGAAGGCATTGCCTTCCCACAGTCATGAGTTAAGTTCGATTCCTGGGGGCACGAAAAATCCTAGATTTTCCAAAGGCTCGCTTCAGCCACCTCGCGCTGTACTCCGATTGCAACTTGTTCGTGGCTGGAGCGGTTGATGAGCTCCACTGGTGTCTCGGTGGTGGGTCCCTTCCTATGGGTTGGGTTGTGGAATTTGGAGATGAATATTGGGTTGGGATAATATGTGATACAGAGAGATAAAGTCACTGTTTGAGGACATACAAAAGCAGCAGCAAGGATAAAGCAAAAGATGAAGCAGATACGACTTCTTTTGCTTTTTTTTTGGCATGAAAAGAATTTCCTAAGATTATTTTATCATGTTTGTGTTTGTGACACATATACAATTATTACCACAATAGATCTCCTATGAATTCCATTAATTTTTCATATTAAATAGTACAGAAAATATAATATTAAAAAATTATGATAATAAGTATAACATTAATTAAAAATTTTAATTATTTTGCCCAATTAATGTTTTAACTTGTAAAGGTGATTAGTTAAATTAATATGTTTAAGAGTCATGAAATTAAAATTTGTGTCAAAACTTTGCCATCAACCAGCTTATGTATGCACCACCGAGGGTGGTGGCCCAGTGGTGAAGGCATTGTCTTCCCACAACCATGAGTCAAGTTCGACTCCTGAGGGGCGTGAAAAATCCTGAATTTTCCAGAGGCTCGCTTCGGCGACCTCGCGCTGTACTCCGATTGCAACTTATCCGTGGCTGAGGCGGTTGATGAGCTCCATTGGTGCCTTGGTGGTGGGTCCCTTCCTATGGGTTGGGTTTAATCAGACTGGCAACCGGCTACCTCGGGGCCTGGGCCTACGGATGTAGTGATGACACCTCAGAACATTCTTTTTTGTGTTAAAATAAATAAATAAATAAAATAACCAGCTTATATGTATGCTAAGTTGTGGTTGACCCAACATGACATTGAGATGTGATTTGTAAATGATTTGTAGGTTTTATAATGAAAATTTTCAATCTGCATTGGGAGAGAGAGTGTCATATGGCTATATTTGGGAAGGTTTAAACATGTAAGATAGTCACTAAAAAGACAAAAAGAAAAACATTTTGAGATTGGGGAGCCCAGTGATAGACAACACCAGATGGGGGTGGCTTTTGCTTTTGATAATTGCTGTGTTTGTTTCTTTATTTCTATTCTAGCTTTATCTTTTGTGTCTTTTTAGATGTAAGAAAATGTTCTTCGAATTGTTTGTTTACTTACACATTAATGATGAGATAATACATACATTGATTGTTCTTAGCATTTATTATCAGAATTTCTATGTCCAATAAAACTAAGAGTCATATTATGCAATCAAAAAAGTTTATAAAATGCTTTATTTTACTAAAATTATCATTTAAAAAATTATATATTTATTAAAAATGATATTTAATTACAAAATGATATGATCGCATTGTTTTAATAAACAAAATTGTAAACAATAATTTAATTACCTTACCAAAAATAAATAAAAAAATTGTAACAATAATATATTTTTATTAAAATTAATGAGAATATATACGATTTTTCTTTTAATGAAAAAGAATGGGTAAATTACACAGACCTCTTGAGGTTTGAAAAAATATAATAAACCTTGTAATTTTGACATAATTATATTAACATCCCTTTTAGTAAAATTAAATTAATCAAACTAATACAGATCGTGTAAAATACAAAAACAAACAATAAAAAATATACATTTTAATATAAAAGAGGTGACAATATTATTTTTTTGTTCATATAACTAAAAAAATTATTGATAAAAATGGAATTACACGTTATGTAAATTAAAATTTTAAGAGAATTCAATATAATTATGTTGAAATAGTAAAACATACTATATTTTAATAAATGTCATTGTAATTTATGCAAAAAGAATATATGCATTATACTTACATTAATTGTTACCGTTGTAGGCCATTGAAATCAGTTTTAACATTAAAAGATTCTGGGTCCAAAATCCAAACCTTGGAGTGATGTTACATTAAGAGAAAGCCCTGTCCCCGGTTGGATTCTTGGAGTGTGTTGTTAGGTCTCCGTGGGCTCATTACAAAACTTATATTGAATCTAAATCGTTTTATGTATAGAATTTGTCCAGTATTTCATTCTTATAAAAAAATTACATTGATCAAATATCAATAATCACTTGATTAGATAACATATTTGTCAAAATTTTATTTTTAAAATTATACTTACCATTGACATAAATTTAATATGATCAAGTGAATATCGATATTTGATCAATATATTTTTTGTAATGATGAAATACTCGATGAACCCTATATATTAAATGATTTGGATTATTGGATTATTGATGTGGACTCTGTGATATGTCCACAAAACCTAACAACGTGCTCTAATTCAATTTCGGATTGGAGAAAAATCTGAGCCTTACAATAATCCAAATTTCACGAGGGTACAAAACAATGAGATTTATATAGTAGCATGACTCCATTAATAATTACACGTGAAATTAATGTGTTTTGTAGATAAGAAAATTAATTATTTGTAGAATTTTTATGAAAAAATAGTCAATAAGTTTTTTTGAATGAATTTTATAGATTTTTTATTTGACATGGATTTATCCTAAAAGTATTCATTACTCAGTTTTTAGATAATTAATTTTTAAAATTATTTAAGATATTTTTATCTCATAAATAATAGGTAAATTTATGTCAAACAATTTGTCACAAATTTTTAAAATAAAAAATTATAATCAATTTTAATAAATTAAACCAAACCAGCCATAGGAAAAATGATTTATATGAATGCTTTGGCTTCTCTTAAGTTATTATATCAACTTAAGAGAGTGTTTGGACATGGTAGAAGCATTTTAAGAAAAAAATTGATGATCTAAACTACTCACTTTTTAGAACTTATTGAGTAGATTATTCATACAAAAAATCAAGATAATCGAACATTAATGACTATATGTTTTAATCATATTTGTTTTAAAAGACAAATATAGTTTCAAGAATAAGTATTCATTTTTTGTAATATAAATTTAATTCAAACATGCAGCTATCGATATCCGATTATCTTTAATTTTATGCATGAATATTCTAGCCAATAAGTCTTAAAAAAGTGAATAGTTCAAATTACCGAAATTCATCCCAAAATCGGCCTATTAAGTCTAAACGCTATCTAAGGTTGAGATAGCCAACATGAGATAAACCAAACACTATACGAAACAGGTATTGGGAAAGTGGAGCACCATTTGAAAGTTCTAAGAGTATTTTCATCCAAACCTTCAAAATTTAGTATGTCAAATTTTTTTGAAGGCTTAGGTGTCAAGTTGACATATGTCAATTTAATATAGAAACTCTCCACCTAATATGTCAAATATATTATTATATTATTTTTGAAATTTAAACTCTTTGAATGTTTTAATTGAAGGGGAAAAAATAAAAAATAAAAAATAAAAATAAAAATAAAAATAAAGCATCAAGGGGTCTTTAAGTTAAAATTGTCATTAAGGGGTGATGCTAAAAGCCACACTAGCGTTTGACATACCAGGTGGAGTTGATATTTAATGCCAAAATATGGCTATTGAAGTATTACATCAAATTTGAAGTATCGGATGAAGGTGCTCCAAGGATTAAATCGGGAAACACTATGGTGTACACCATCAAAGAGTCTGTACCACATGCACCTTATAATTAAAGAATAAAATGGTATAATTTCATACTTGCTGAATCATAACTAAAAAAGAAAACGTCATAACTGAGTACAACATGAAATATCACCAAAGAATTTATAATTTATAACCAAAACAATATCATAACTAAAAGAAAAAAAAAAAACATAATTAAGAATGTACATCCTTTTATATTAGAATTTCCTCGATTAGCTCTTTTGGTCGCATTTATTAATCTATTCTGAGATGTAGGCTTTAGTATGAGTGGAATGTTAGCAATTTATTAATTTTTTGGAAAATTACAATTCAGTATGGGGTCAAAAAAAATAATTATTGAATTATTGAAAAATTTATAATTTTAATTATTAATATTGATAGTGTGTGGGTGAAAATCTGACCACACTGCCCGTCTAGTGATCAGCTGGAGAGCACAAGCAGAATAGATGGCTAAAGTAACCTGAAACAGAAAGAAAAAGCTCCGGCGGTGGTTCTTCCACCCGGGGGCACTCCGACGATCAAGTCAGTATATCTCTCAAAGATAATCAAGTACTAAATTGAATACTCAAAGTATATGTTACATACCTTAGACCCATGGGGGTGCCTCTCTTTTATAATATACTCAATCCAAGTCCCACTAGAAGTATGACTTCTATGAATTCTAATTCACTGTTTACTCTGGACTCTTTTAAGTGATAAAGATAAACTACTTGAAAGTTTTATCCTTATCTTAATTCAGTCCCCTTTGTGCCTCAGGACTCTTGCCCCATATCTCGGATTCCGATATCTTCGGAGATGACCTCGGC